GCCCTGAAGTATGGCCAGAAGTAAGAAAAATAAATAAAACAAGGGAAAACAGAATTGTTTTTTAGCTTTGATCTCCTTTGGTTTGGGAAAAATATTTTAACGCACCTTTTGGATATGCAAACGATTGGCCCTGAATCTACTGAAGGCTGAGACAAAAGGAGGAAAATGTTCTAAACCACAAACTAGTTTCTAGATAGGACAGCAATTTAGGGGAGTCCAGAACTCCAAAGTCCTGGAGTTTGGCAAGAAAAACCAAGAAGGGAGGTGTGATCTAAGAAGGGCCATATTCAAGAACATCCTTATATCCCATGTCATAGACATGACAATATAATCCCTCTGAAGAGGACGGAATGATGAAATTTAGGCACTGTCATACTCCAGGATCTATTTTTTTTTACCTTGATGGAGGATTGCTTTACAATATCGGTTTGATTTCTGTCATACACTGGCATGAATTAACCATAGGTGTACGTATATTCGCCCCCCCCCCAAGTATATGTTTAAAATTTCTTTCCTGCATTCTAATTCCCTCATTTTATCTTCACACCTTAGAAATTAAACATATCACCTTTATCAGTGATGTAAGTAAATTGTCACTTCTCTCTCCAAGTATTGGGTGACACAGTGGACCTCAAAATATTCTGAAACCACCAGAGGTGATAGGAGAGAAGTGAGAGCACAGGAGAAGGGCAAAGAGTGGTAGGAAGCACTCTAGATTCAGTACTTCCCCATCCAGGATGCACAGAAATCCTAAGGGAGAGACACATGGTAACTATAATGATGTAATAATTTTCTGGTCATGCAAAATGAGAGATTCAATGAGAGTTTATTTAAATATAAACTTTGAGAGAAAAAGGTGATGCAAAAAGTTCGAAAGTTTGAAAACTAGGAATGATACCAAAACAAAGCATGATTTCTTGAGTTCAAAGAACACATGTGGCCTGTGACAGATCATCCATGAGATCATGCAGATGTGATATTAAGGAAAGAGTAACAGTGTTGGCTCAGAAGGTAAAGAATCTGCCTGCAGTGTGGGAGACCTGGGTTCAATCCCTGGGTTGGGATGATCCCCTGGAGTGGGGCACGGCAACCCACTCAAGTATTCTTGCCTGGAGAATTCCATGGACAGAGGAGCCTGGCGGGCTACAGTCCAAGGGGTCCCGAAGAGTCAAACATGACTGAGTGACTAGCACAACAGCTATGAAGTCTCAACTTAAAGCACATCACCCCATACCTAAGAGCAGAGAAGAAGGTGCTTTTACACTACCTGCATGAATTCCTCCTTAGATTCATAGTGAATTTTGCCTTATCTGAGAAAAGAACACCTTAGTGATTTTTTTCAAGAGATGACATCCTTGAAAGCCATGTCCGTCAACCCAACATATCCATTATAATACGGACACACAAATACTTTTATGCATTTTCTTTGTAATAAGACTCGGGCCTCTGGAAAGTCCCAGAGTCTGCAATCAAGGAGATTCAGTTCTCCGATCCCCCGAAGCATCTCTAAAGAGGAGACAGTACCAATGTTTTCTTAGGTCAGATTCCGAAAGCAACAAAAATAAGAGAAAAAGTAAGCAAACGTGACATAATCAAACTTGTAAGCTTTTGGACAGCAAAGGAAACTATAAACAAAACAAAAAGACAACTTATAGACTGAGAGAAAATATTTGCAAATGATGCGACCAACAAGGGCCTAATTTCCAAAACATGCAAACAGCTCATATAATTCAGTAACAAAAACAAACTGCCCAACTGAAAAATGGGCAGAAGACCTAAATAGATATCTCTCCAAGGAAGACATTCAGATGGCCAATAGGTACATGAGAAGATGCTCATCCTCACTAATTATTAGAGAAATGGAAATCAAGCCTGTTGAATACAATGAGGCACCACCTCACAGAGGTCAGAATGGACATCATTAAAAATTTACAAAACATAAATGCTGGAGAGGGTGTGGCAGAAAAGAATCCCTCTTAGACTCTTGGTGGTAACATAACTTGGTGCAGCAGTTACAGAAAACAGTATGGCGGTTCCTCAAAAAAATAGAAAACCACTACAATATTGTAATTAGCCTCCAACTAATAAAAATACATGGAAAAAATAAAAATAGAGTTGCCATATGATTCAGCAATCCCTCTCCTTCATACCCAGACAAAACTACAATTCAAAAAGACATATGCATGACTATGTTCATAGCAGCACGATTTACAATAACCAAAACAGGGAAACAGCCTAAATGGAATGGCTAAAGAAGATGTAATATGTATATACAATGGAATATCACCTAGCCATTAAAAATAATTAAATAATGCCATTTGCAGCAACATGGATGGACCCAGAAAATTATTATACTAAATGAAATAAATCAGAAGAAGACAAATACCATAGGATATTACTTATATGAGGGACTGAAGATAGGACACAAATCAACAGAGCTATGAAACAAAAACAGTCACAGAAATAGTGAATGGACTTGTGGTTGGTAAGTGGCGAGTGGGGGTGGTGGAGAGAAAGAAAATAGGAGTGTGAGATTAGCAGATGCAAACTATTATATGCAGGATGGATAAACAGCAAGATCTTACTCTATAGCATAAGCAATTACATTCAGTATCCTGTGATAAACCATAGTAGAATATGGAAAAGAATATATGTATAAGTTTGTGTGTGTGTGTTTATAACTAAATCACTTTGCTGTACTGCAGAAATAAAAAAGACATTGTAAATCAACTATACTTCAACAAATTTTGTTTTAAAAATAAAGAGGAGGAAAGAGTCCAGATTTTTTTTTTCTAAATGACCATCCCTACAGGTCAGCTGGGGTCTACTTAGGTAAACAACTCAAGCAGCAAGGCCCTCAGAGCATCATCTTTTCTTTGATCCCAGTAATGCCACGTGGATTGACTTTAAGGTATGCCTATTCCTCAGAAGCCTTGATCTCTAGCTTAAGAATATGAGTTAAGTCAGGATTTTATAGAGATTTTTTGGCTTTAGGAAATAAAACATGAGAGACCCCCCGCCTCTTACATTCTTCTGAAAATCTCCATCTCTAATTGTTTCTCCCCTTCAAAGAAAATTCCCACATACTTCATACTGTATTAATAAAGTCTCCAACAGGCATGTATCTAATCACCCTCCACCATCCAGGAACAGTTCAGAATGAAAAGATTAGCAGGCTTTGTTGTTGGGTTATATCTGAGAGATGACAGTTTATATCAAATCATTATGTGTCAAAAATCTGCGGATGTGCCAAGGTAGAAATGCCATTCCACAGTTCCCAGAGGTGGATACAATTCCCTGTTCCACATGTGACTTTAATATGTGTGCTGCTTAGAGAGAGAGAGCTGGCCTTTTCAGTCAGATTCTTTCTTACATTACGACCCACCAGCTGATACAGCAACATTGCATTTGCCCAAAACTATTTGCTATGATTGTTCAGAGGCCTTTTCACTTGTTCCCCACCTGCTCTCTCTCCTATTCAGTCTCTGCCAGCTCAGAGCTTCTGGCTCCACTCCTCACTCTTGATACATCCCTGGCCCTCTGGGCTTTCTGTCTGCTTAGCATCTGAGCAGCAACTTTCCCCATCAAACCCCAGCTTGAGCCAGGCCCAGCCTATTCCTCCTAGCCCACCTTAACTTGACATTCTCAGAAACCAAACCCTGGCTCCAGCAGTTGCGTGTCAGCACCCCTAGGTCCCCTGTGATGAAATTCAGGATCATTCACCACATGTGCAAAAACAAGGCAAAACATCCTGTAACGATAAGAACTGGGGAGTTGTTCTCTGCCTGCTGCTCAGTTGCACTTCAAACATATTTGTCAGGGCATCACTGTAACCTGCTCCCAGGTAACACAGGACGACTGCAGCCGTCTTCTCTACTTAGAATGCCATTCTCTGTCCTCTGCTGTGTCAAAATCTAGTCATTAAAGAAAATAAATCACGTCATCTGGCTGAATCCTTCCTCCAACGTCCACTTTATACTTTTCATAACATTTTGCAATGCTCTGATCCTGCTTTTCAATACACACCAACAGAAAGGGAAGGACCTTTCATAAAAACAAATAATCTACCAAGATGAAGAGAAAGGAATGATGCCCTTAGCACTTCGAAACCTTTTGACCCTTTGGAAAATGGAGAAGGAGATAAGAAACACAGTGTCTGCCAATATTGCTCCATCAGTCTCTTCCTCGCTCATTTTCAGAATTCACAAGTGTTCCTGTTCACCGCCCCCCCCCCCATTGTAATCACAAATATCTCAAAGGTAGTGCATTTTGAGCAAGAAAAGCATCGCAAATGAGACCTACTGTGACAAAGCAGCTGCAGTCAACTCATCTGAGACAACATAGGGACTTGCACATTACATTTTAGAGGGTAACACCAGCAATTAGCACAGTAGGTATGCAATTGAACCATAGAATCTGTGATTCAAATTCAGCAAATTGCAGGTGTTTTAGTCTGTTCAGGCTGCAATAACAGAATACGATAAACTTGGTGGTCAATAGTTACTTCCAGTTCTAGAGGCTGGAAGTCCAAGATCAAAGTGCTGGCAGATCGAATGTCCACTAAGGGATCACTTCCTGATTCACAGGAGGCTTTTCATTTTACTCTGAGAAGGAAGGGTCAAGGAAGCTCTCTGGAATCTCTTTTATAAGGACACTAATCCTACTCATAAGTGCACCCCCTTCATGACCTAATCACCTCCCAAAGCCCCCATCTCCAAACACTATCACAGTGGAAACTGAGATTTCAACATATGAATTCTAAGTGAGGGATAAAAACTCAGTCTAGAGCAGCAGAGGGGCTATTCTTGAAATCAAAGTTAATTCATTTTTAATGGAGAGGGGTGCTTCTCTGTTACCAAAGTTTTAAATCTTCCTGCATCACCCACACAAGACACATATATTATGGGTGCTTAATAGATAACTGTTGCATGCAATGACTGAGTTGCATTTCTTGGCTGCTAATGCTTAATATATTTATTCATTATGGATTTTTTTTTCAGCACCTTTTCCTCCTTCTATATGGCAAGTCAATCTTTCCATAACCTGTCAACGAGTCACCAGGAAATTAAACCATGATGCAACTCTGAAATTAGCAGTTGTGAGTTAACATTCCTTGCCTACCCTACACCTAAACTTTTCCCAGATAATTCAACCTGGTCAGTATAGAGAGATACCTGAGGCAATGTTAATGCCTCATCATTCATTCAAAGGTAGTGACTCCTGACACGATGAGGACTCTTCCCTTTTGGCCTAAAACCGTGGACAATACTGATGCCTAAGAACAAGTCGAAAAAAATATAACAACGTGTATTTTTTTTTTAAATGTTACACTTGATTTTTCTAAATGCACCAGGTAGCCTAAATCTGTGGCTTGAGTGTGCTCAGCATTCTGAATTCACTGCTGTGGAAAATGGAGCTGAAATGACGTAAGGCAAGACACAGTTTGAAACGTGAAGCTTTTGCCATGTGCCTTTGAGCCACATCCAATACCATCTGAACCATTTATAGCACATCTTATTGTTTGCTTCCTAAATCCAGTCATATAAAAGTAATAGGGTACTGTCTTTTGCCCTTTGCTTTGTGAGGTTATCTGATTTCCATTCCCAGATGAACGTCATGGCTGCTCTTTTTCTGTCTTGAAAATAAATCTGTTGCCCAAAGCTAAATATACAGTACTTTGAACATGACAATGAGGCTATTTTTAATTTGTCCTTTCCTTTTAATTATGCTGTTGGTATTATTTTGTAGGTACAATTTGCAACATTCTTGCTGCCACCTACAGGCAACCCTGAGCTCAACCTTGTGATTTGGGGAGGGTAGGTGTAGAATTATCTGTTTATCTTAAATTAAAAATCTGCTGTATTTCTAGCTTACTGTTTATCAGCATGGATATGAATGTATTGCGAATGTTTTTTAAACAATACCCACGCCTTTATTTATTTCATGAAAATAAAAATATCTGCAAGATCCTCATAAAATCACTAAAGAGGACAATCGCTGCCAACATAAAGAATTCACCTGGGACAACACAGGAGCAATCCTACACAAATGTGTTCTTAATGGTTTCCATAAGTAATAACATCAGCATGTTTATGAAAAACCTAAATGCATAATTGATCAAAGCAATTTTCACAGTTAAAATTTATTAGCTATGGAAATAGCTGATGTGAAAAGCAAGGTTAAGAGCAAAAAAAACTAAGGCTTTTAAAAAGTAATTCTATCTCTTCTTGATAACTATTACTAACTGCACTGAGCTAATACTGAAAAAAGAGCACTGAAAAGAAAAGCAGAAATGGAGATAGAGCAGCTCTATGAGGCCATTTATCATCAAAAAAAAAAAAAAAAAAAAAAACGGAGGAAAGAATAAAAATAAAATATGGCAATAGAATCCTAGAACTCTCTGATGAATCTTAGACCTCTGTGAGGCAAAGAGTACTGTGGGTCCAAAAGAATTCTCTCTTTGGGAAGCTGGCCTCAAATGAAGAATGAGAGCGATTATAGAATGTGCTGGTGGTCTGTAAACACAGCCCCTACTGTGTTCCAGGCTGTGTGCTTGACACTGAGGATTAGAGGTAAATATGACAGAGCCTTTACTTTAAGGAGAATACTTTCTCAGAGGGGTGACAGAAGCAAGGAAGTATAATACATTGTGATAAGGACTATGACAGAGGTAGGTACCAGCACCATGAAAGTGTAAAAAGATGACAGCTACCGCTCTGCTGGGAAAAGCCCTCATGGACAAGGGAGTCAGGAAAAGGTCAAAACACCAGGAAGAAGGGAGGACATTGTCTGGGCCATTCCCTTCAGTTCTTCCTTATCTCTCCTTTTGTTTCTGGCCAAGAAATGAATCTTCAAAATAAAATGAAAATAAAAATCTTAGCACTATAGTTTTGACAATAAGAACAGCGACCGAGAGCTCAGTGCTTTAAAAGCCACATAGAAGACTGTCAATAATAATTCATTATCAATGCTCTCTCCAACCCCCTCACTTAAAATGCAAACACTCAGGAAATGTACCGCAAACCAAACCTTCCCCATCACACTTTCCTGCATGAAAGCAAAACTAAAAGACTTGATCAGTACCACAGAGATGTTTCTCTCTCTCTCTCTCTCTCTCTCTCTCTCTCTCTCTCTCTCACACACACACACACACACACACACACACACACACACACACACTTTGCTGCACCAGGTCTTAGTAAGGAATGTTGGCTCTTTCAGTTGTATGTAACGTGAACTCTTAGTTATGGCATGTGGAATCTAGTTCCCCAGATAGGGATCAAATCTAGGCCCTCTGCATTGGGAGTGTGGAGTCTTAGCCACTGGACCCCCAGGAAAGTCCTTATAAAACTCTTAAATGAACATTACCTGAAAGGATATCACCAGTTTATGACTGCTTGTATCGTTGCTAAAATACTGCATCTAGTTTTTTTCCCCCCAATTTGTATTTTTCCCCCCAGACTATATAGTTTTAAAATCTTAACAGTGTTGAAATTAAGTATAAATTATTATTTACAACATTTCCATTTTGGAAAAGTAAACTTATTTCATATAATAAATGAAATAGAAATGACAGAAACATTTTATTTCAATAATCATGTTCTCAGAAATTTCTGTATACTTAAAACTATATGAAATACTGTGTGCTAGATATAATATTTGGATGTGTATCTTTCCATAAGGAGTGTTTAAGTTCATAGAAAAGCAAAAAATAATATAGAACTATACATATCTATACAAAGTAGATAGGTTTGGCACTAATAAATTCTGAAATTGATGAAGCTCATCATTAATATCTATCGATTTCCTTTTGGTACTATTTCCCAATTTTCTCAAATTATTTTCTCTGTCTTCACTATGCATGATAATCCAGACTACAAAATGTCAGTTCAACGACTACAATACTGGTCAAAACTCTCAGTCTCTCACTGTGAGAGAAGAATTAATATGGTGGAAGTTTTAACAAGGACACTTTGTAGCAGCGTATGAGGTTCAACAAAACCAACCAGAGAGAACACTGTAACACTCTTTACACCAATGGAATAGTTGCTTCTGGTGGAATTTCAGACATCACAGGCAGCCACTTAAAAAGAAGCAGACCTTCTGAAATCCACATATATATCAATATAATGCCTGTCTGAAAGCACAGGATAAAATGGTGGGATTTTCAATATAAATTATGAAACAAAGAAGATCAGGGAGCAAACAAAATAGTGAATCCTCAGATAGTCTGGAAAAGCTTCCTGCAAAAAGAGAGATCTGAATAGCTTCTTAAGAACAGATATGCCTTGGATCAAAGAGTTGGACACAACTGAGTGACTAATATTTCACTTGACTTCATGCTTTGGATCAAACCAGTCAATCCTAAAGGAAATCAACCCTGAATATTCACTGGAAGGACTGCTGCTGAAGCTGAAGCTCCAATACTTCGGCCACCAGATGCGAAGAGCTGACTCATTGAAAAAGACCCTGAAGCTGGGAAAGATTGAGGGCAGGAAGAGAAGGGGGCAGCAGAAGATGAGATGGTTGTATGGTATCACCAAATCAATGGACATGAATCTGAGCCAACTTGGGAAATGGTAAAGGACAGGGAAACCCAGCCTGCTGTGGTTCATGGGGTCTCAGAGTTAGACATGACTTAGTGCTGAAAAACAGCAACAACAACGCTTTGGACAATCAAAGAGAAAGAAGGACTTGGGAAGAGAAAGCACATTCAGGCCAAGGAACAGCAAACACAAAGAACATATATGGCAGAGACGGGGGGACACTTTGCTCTTCAAGAGTAAGTTAAATGAAAGCATAAAATTCATCAGTAGCTTTCATTAGATTTAGATGACTTCCAGAATACTCAATATGGAATAACTACTTTTCTGAGAAAAATACAAAATTTTGACTAAATGTTATCTCATGTTAAAAATCACCTAATGTACAAAATGGACATAAACGCTAATGATATTTCATCTTTTTTGAGACTGCCTACAAATACAGTACTTGGTGTATTGTGATACAGTTTTAGAGCTGGAGTTGTTTTTTAATTATTAAAGTATAATCTTAAAGAGGATTTTAATTAAGAATAAAAACTCAGGAGCATTTGAAATGAATTATGGTGAGCTCCTCCACAGACAAAGAGAAAAAGATATGCAATATTTTGACCTTTCTCAGATATCCCCCAGGCCCTCTGATTTCTGACTTAGACCAGTCTACTCTGGATTCTAAGAACTCCTAAACAAGAATAGCTCAATAAAAATGACATTTGTTTGAAAGAATGTCAGATATTAAATATATAAAAGTTTGGTTCTTTTTCTAACACATCTAGCCAGAAATTTGTTTCACTTTCATTCTTTCAATTTTATTTGTATAAGATTCAAGGCTATGAATTTTCCTCTCAGCTCTGATTTAACTGTGTCCCACTGTTATTATATTGTTATTTTCTAGAAATTCTGACATCTAGGCATTTTTATTTTCATCTTTAATCCAAAAGCATTTGAGAAAGACTTGGACTGCAAGGATCAAACTAGTCAATCCTAAACGAAATCAGTCCTGAATATTCATGGGAAGGACTGATGCTGAAGCTCCAATACTTTGGCCACCTGATGTGAAGAACTGACTCATTGGAAAAGACCCTGATGCTGGGAAAGATTGAAGGCAGGAGAAGAAGGGGACGACAGAGGATGAGATGGATGGATGGCATCACCGACTCAATGGACATGAGTTTGAGCAGGCTCCAGAAGTTGTTGATAGACAGGGAAGTCCGGTGTGCTGCAATGCATGGGGTCGCAAAGAATCAGACATGACTGAGCAACTGAACTGAACTGAACTGAACTTCTTTAACTGTATACATTTTTTATATGTTGCTATCATGTCTAGTTTTATTGCATTAGAATCACAAAGATGTATCATTTTCTAAATTATTTCTCACTTTCAGATGTATAGATACCTTCATTGTAGTCTAGAAAAATAATTTTAAATGTCACATGGGTATGTACTCAATTTATAAAGTAAAGGGTTTCATGTATATTTTCTTGTTTATTTTTGTTAAGGAATGCTATAACCTTGGGGCTTCCCTAGTGGCTCAGGGTAAAACAAAAAGAAAACGAAAAATCTGCCTACAAATGAAGGAGATGCGGATTCAATCCCTGGATCAGGAAGATCTCCGAGAGGAGGAAATAGCAACCCATTCCAATAGTCTTGTCTGGGCAA